TAACCTTATAACAGATATACAATGTGGTTTCCGTAAAAACAGAAGTACTATCGATCACTTAGTGCGTTTGGAATTATTTGTTAAAAACGCTCTAATCAATAAACAACATGCAGTGTCTATCTTTCTTTATCTAGAAAAAGCATATGACACTACGTGGAAATATGGAATTTTTAAAGATTTACATGGCCTCGGATTGCGAGGTCGTTTACCTAAATTTATATCCAACTTTTTAGATGGCAGGCCCTTTCAAGTCCGAGTGGGTTCAGCCCTGTTTGACCATTATTATCAGGATCAGAGTGTTCCATAAGGCAGTAGGTTGTCTGTTACCTTATTTAGCATTAAGATCAATAGTTTATCCAAGGTTTTAAACGATTCAATCGATGGATCAACTTTTTGTGGATGATTTTAATATTTCTTGCCGTGGTAAAAATATGCATACTATTGAATGGCAAATGCAGTTGTGTTTAAACAAAAGAGATAAATGGTGTCTTGAACACGGCTTAAAATTTTCAAAATCGAAAACTAATTGCATACATTTCTGCCGTAAATATACTAGCCACATAAAGAGACTGTGCATTGTCAAAATATTATCCCAGTTGATAAGTACGATAACAATGTCAAAGGTACATATAAACTTTAATGGAGGGATCATGAGACCATAACAAGTCGGGAGAATTTCAATTGAAAAGTCAATCACAATGACGTCACGAGTCCACAAGCTGGACAGGGGTCAAACGACCATGTCACAAGCTCAATAACGGGTATGTCCACCATCGGCATTGAGAACAGCAGTGCATCGACGACGCATAGAGCCTATCAAACGTGCAAGGAAGGCTTGTGGGATGTCACGCCAGATTCTCTCAAGTTCTGTTGCAAGGTCAAGGACGTTATCTGGCGGATGAGGAAGACGGCGTAGACGTCGATCCATCTCGTCCCAAACATGCTCTATCGGGGTGAGATCCGGTGAATTTGCAGGCCAAGGCAGTAAGTCAACGTTGTGATGTTGCAAGAAATCCATAGCAACCCTTGCCGTATGAGGGCGGTCATTGTCCTGTTGGAATGTTAACCCAGGGCCATGACGTTGCAGAAAAGGAATTGCCACAGGTCGAAGAATCTGATCCCTGTAGCCCACACAAGTTAAGTTGCCCTGAACAATCACCAAAGGAGTTCTTTGGCGTGCTGTTATTCCACCCCAAATCATCACGGATGCACCACCAAAGCGATTCGTCTCCAGACACAGGCCTGTGCATAACGTTCTCCCACGCGTCTATAGGCATGTTGACGTCCATCACTATAGGAAATGTTAAACCTGGACTCATCTATAAAAACAACATTTCTCCGCCAAAACAAGGGTCTGCGGACATGATTTCGACACCACATTCGGCGAGCTTGTCGATGACGTTGTGTAAGGATAGGCCGTATGGCGGGACGTCGTGGTCTGATCCCGCGATGACGTAAACGTTGTCGAACTGTGTTGGGGTGGATACGGCGAAGTCCTGGGATGGTTCGGGCAGTCATCACTGCAGTCTGAAACCTGTGGCGAAGATGGGTCACCCTTATCCATCTGTCCTGTCTTGGCGCTGTTACACGTGGACGTCCAGAACGTGGCTGATCGATGACGTCATTTGTGTTCTGGTAGCGTCTCACCTATGCAGAAATGGTGTTCCGGTGGCAGTGGAAATGTGCAGCCACTTGTCGTTGAGACATTCCCCCACGGACCATCCCAATGGCCTCATGACGTTGTGCAGACGTGAGCCTTGGCATGCTATGCGTTTCAATAGCCGTTTAATTTTTGAACGATCGCAAGGACAGGGGTTGAGCTTTCCAATGTGACAGTATTGTGTGGCATTCATTTGCTCTGTTTCTCTTTCCCGCAATGCACGTGCACCAACGTATTGCACGTCTCAAGGACGAACCCACTGACGTCACGGAACGTGGCACGTGCATGCATGTTGGATACATGTCACTAATCTCTGAGTTTAAATCCTTATGTGTCTACACAGGTTTGATAAATTTAGATTTTAAATTTTTGTATGCACAGTTTCTTTATGTGCCTAGTATATATTTACCTGAATTGTAAGTGCCGAAGAATTGTTTATTTTTAACCTCCGGCTAAATCTGCGACAATTGACAGTAACTAGTGAAAGATGTAAATCCGGCTGAGGAACCATGTAGGTAGGAGAGGTACCTAGAGGTATCTTCGGAGATGTGCATTAAGGAAGAAGATAGAAACTATCAGCAATGTATTTTCACGTGAGTTGTACTCAGTGTCTTAAATGTTGTTTAATTGTATTAACATGTTGATATTTCACTTCAGTTTTATATTTTCTGTTCAATGACGACGTAACAATACAATGGTGTGTGCGATGTTTGTAAGTATTAATACGCAGCGAATTTCCGGGAATAAAGTACCATTCGATCATGTTTTTCAGCCAATCAGATTATAGAACACAGTTTACAATTTATTTCCAATGTAGTCAAACATCACCAGGTACATCCCCAGGCACAAACATATGCAGGTGGTTTGGTCACATGAAAAATACTGTGAGACTGGTGTGGGTGGTGTAAAGTTTAGAAATATAACGTGTCAACCATGAAGCGTTTGAAAGCTTTGCTAGGGCCTTATATCCTGATCTTACAACTGCCTTCATGTTCGCTTATTTAGATTATCGATGATTCTTCAATTCTCTGGTCACACCTACTCTCAACCTCATCATATTTGGGATGATGATGGTACTGTGTACGTAATATTCCTTATATTTTTATTCACAGGTAACATTGGGACTGCTGTGTGCGTGTGGGCTCCATTACGGTAAGGAAATGGGTGAGGTGAGGTGAAATTGGGTTTAACGTCGGGCTGGAGAATATTTCGCTCATATGACGACGTGCATGCGTGTGTATGTGTAGGTGCGGCTGCTTGCACTAGCCCAGACTGATGCTGGTTTTATAGTGCTAGCCCACTGAGATACCATGCCGCAGTGAAGCATGAATACCCCCACTCAGACACATTATACTGACTCCAAGCCGACCAGTCCTTGTTGTACCCATTAATGCCGAACGCCAGACAGGGACCAACAAGTACCATATTTTAACGTCTTTTGGTATGACGCGGTCGGGGATCGAATCCGCGACCTTCCGCTCTCGTAAGGAAATGGACTTTTTGAAATGGCCAGTGATTAGAGTGAGTGAGTTTAGTTTTACGCGCGTTTAGCAATATTACGGTGGGGAACACCAGAAAAGGGCTACAACATTGTACCCATGGTAGGAATCGAACCCTGATCTTCGGTTTGACGAGCGAACGCTTTAACCACAAGGCTACCTCTCCTTTTCCGTAAAATTAAAGAAGACACGACCACCTGTCAATAAACGTTATCTGCGAAAATATATTAAAAAACAGTCAGAATAGGCATATGACTCTTAATAAAAATCTGTGCTATACATTTTTAATTTCTCTTATTGCAGTTGCACCGCTCCTTGTTATAAGGTCACAGAATGTTTTTGTCGAAACAAAGACATCGTCAGTGACTTTCAAAGTAAAGGCCTGTGGAGACATAGTCTTTCACCTGGTTATGTCTCTACCTAACGGAAGGAGCCTCTGCTATGAATGTGTACTGAGAGGATACGATGGGATGCGTGGATTCATCAGACTAAGCGGCACAGTCTTAGTTGAAAGGAAGCCCGCCTTGTTGAGACATTGTGAAGAGTATCGTCCCTACTGGGCCAGCTGGGAGAAAGGAGTTCTGTCTACTGGAACAGGCTGGACAGTTGGACAGGGTGTCCTGCTGGAGTACAGCACCGAGTTCACAGAACTACACCTACAGTGGATATATGCTAGGTTTTGGATATATACAGAAACACGTTACATCTTTGGTATGTATCCGTTTGGCACAGAAGGTATCGATATTTACTGAACATTCATACTGAATGTGTGTAAAAGGAGAGCGTGAGTCTTACGTTGGCAATTAACTGTTATTTAAAGGACTGACTGAGTTTGGTTTTACGCCGCTTTTAGCAATATTCCAGCAACATCACGGCGGGGGACACCAGAAATGGGCTTCACACATTGTACCCATGTGGGGATTCGAACCCCGGGTCTTCGGCATGGCGAGCCAACGCTTTAACCACTAGGCTACCCCACCGCCCCTATTTAAAGGAAATGTATGGCAATATATGGCCAGCGAACAGAGAGCTATCTCCAGTTTCAATTACACTCAAACACAAGGGTGTCAAAATATGCAGTTAGCTACATGAGTGCATCTAGTTATCCGAGGTTAGACACAAACGCCAAATGACTGTAACGGTGTATGCAGGACCAAGCATTTACTTCCAGACAAACCGTAGGCTCAAAACAACAAAGTTTGACACAGTGATGTTTTGCCTTAAGTAGATGAAAGGGTTTTCATTCATGCACACAACAGGAAAAAATCATTGAATAAATTATATTTTGTTAGTGACATAATTTATACAATAAAAACCTTTCAATTAACCTATAATGGAGGCTAACATATTTTATCAATACTAATGTAAATTTTGAAAATAAATCTTCTTATATGTGAGGTGAGGTGAGGTGAAATTGGGTTTAACGTCGGGCTTGAGAATATTTTGCTCATATATATGACGACGTGCATGTGTGTGTATGTGCGGCTGCTTGTATTAGCCCAGACTGAAGCTGGTTTTATACCATGGTGAGATACCATGCCGAAGTGAAGCATGAAAATCCCGCTCAGACACATTATACTGACTCCGAGCCGACCAGTCCTTGTTGTACCCATTAATGCCGAGCGCCAGGCAGGGACCAACAAGTTACCATGTTTTAACGTCTTTTGTTATGCTGCGGTCGGGAGATCGAACCCGCAACCTTCCGCTCTCCGAGCGGACGCTCTAACCACTACACCACGGAGGCGGTCTCTTCTTATATATTGCATTAACTGCTTTATACCAGTAAGCAATCAAAATATACTTTTTTATGAATGGGTTACCGAATTTCATCTCCATTTGACATGTCTTCTCATTGTAGCGAGCCAATCACTTTACACCGCACCCAGCAATATTCCAACTGTAAGTCGGCGGTATGTAAATAATTGAGTCTGGACCAAACAATCCAGTGATCAACAGCATGATAATGAGTATGTGATACAATGACATGTGTCAAGCAAGTCAGCCAGCCTGACCACGCAATCCCGTTAGTTGTGTCTTACGGCAAGCATGGGTTGATGACGACAAATTCATTTACATGAGAAGAAATACCATAACACTGCACGACACGTGCATGTATTATCGAATGTCATAGCTTTTGATAGGGAATTCATTAATCACAATTTCAGATGATCAAAACGCTGCTTTTCTGAGAAGAACACCACGATTCCTGTACAAGGGCCAAGCATCCTCTGCTGTGGTCACTACAAGGTCAAAACTGAGATGTGCCGTGGCCTGCCGAGAAGAACCACGATGTGCAGCCATCAGTTACACACGAGACACACATCAGTGTCAGCTAGTGGGAGCATTGAAGAGTGGCATTAAAGTAACTTCTGAGGAACTTCTGTTGGTGACACAACGATACTGATGGTAAACATAACGATTCACCCTCACATCCATGTGTACAGTTGAACCTTGCTTGTCTTCAGTACGTTTCCTAAATATTGTCAGGATGAAAGGAGGTTTGTGTTTCTGAATCCATGGTTCATCCAGGCGTATATCAGGAGAGTGTCCGGGTTCTCCGCTGGGAGCACAGCCCTTCTGACTGTCTGGGTAATGCAGAAGGCTGCAGTGTTGGGGAGCCTTCATATTCTCCGGAAAGTTCTTGGTAGGTTCGACCAGGTAGCGTTTCCCTGAGGTCCTGAGCTGAGGATGAGCCTTACCAGCATGACTGTGCCAGGATCACCCGAACTCTCTCTGCTGCGTACTAATTTTCATCTGTAAAACATATAAATAGTAGCAAGATTATTACATAATTCAATTATTTCGGTTAAAAGTGAATTTTAACAAGACAAAGTTTTAATAGCCCTGAGGCAGGAGATTGGGTCCGAAACTATTACATAATGTTTATATTTTGGGTATTAATTGATATATTTAAGAGCTGTTAACATAGGTTCCTTCTGCTGTGAAAATGGAGTTGTTATCTGGTAATCGAAAAGATACTGTTCTGGATCAAATATCTGTGGCCCAAGCAAGTGCTCCACCATGTATGGATCCATATGTAAGGATTTGTATGTATTATGTTCATTTCTTGATGGATTACAGTTTTGTCTATACTGCAAGTCATTTGCGTCTGATTTTTTTTAATGTGGTCAGTGTAAGATCTACCAGTTAGCCTATCGAATTGCCAAGAAGGAGAGCAAACATGGCGACAAGGAGTTAAATACTCGCATCTGGTCCCCATGGACCCTAGTATGGTGATCTACCTTCAGTTGTTGGCGATAAATAGCCCATTTTTACGTTGTATTGTCCAAAATAGTTGTCTACATTTAAAAATGTGTGCCAGCTAGCTTTAACCAATTTTGTGATAATCTAGTCATTTTACTGTCCTTCGTTGACAGAATTTTATAAATTATGTGTATTTACCATGAATATAGAATTTGTTTTCGTCACGATATGGCTGAAATATTGCTGATGTGACTTTAAATCTCAATTCCAATTCCAACTCACTCACTCTCTCGCATCGGAAAGGAAAGGCTGTTTTGTAGAGATGATTATGAACACATTCACAGGCTGGATTTGATTTAACAGAATGCAATTTAGGAATGTAAGCAATGGTTTGTTAAGATAATTTGAGCGTAGTTATAGAGATGGTTCATCAGCCTCCACATACAAACCAGGAACCGGTGATGTCTTGAAGCCTCCAAGGCAAAGCCTTAGGCCTTGGTGACGAACAGGATCTAATAATTTTAGTTAGTTTCGAGTTTGAATAACTGTAGATACATCAAGTTCCTTTAAGCCTTTATTCTTCTAACACACTTTATAAAAAAGTAGGGGAACATGAACGTTCAATTTGGATAGGAAGTATCAGAGTTAACAAACTTTTCAAAGACAGGCATCTTGTGAACGCACCACCATTTCTCTTTATCAGCACCACTAAACAAAACACATGGGATGCACCTGCACAACGCAGTAGCCCCACGCACGTGCATGGGGTGTCATTCTTGTTTTTCACAGTTGTTCGTGTTTGTTTCTGGCTGGTTGTTTTTGTTTGAAAATGAAAATCGTACACATGCAAATTTCAGGTCCAACACCAATCATCTTTAAAGAGCGATTATTGTACAAACGACTATGGTCTTGAGGACGTGCAAGTGGTGATGTACTCTCAACACAATCATTATTTTCATATCAACATTGATTGACGCCGATACATCTCCCATTTTTTGTCAATCGTAAATTAAAAGTGAAGTTCCCCTACTGTGTATAAATTTAATTTTAGTTCGTTTCGACTTTGAATAACTTTAGATACATCAAGTTGCTTTTTTTTTATGCCAATATTTTTATGTGGCCGAAAGGTCAAATGTTGATAGACAATAATACCAAAGACTTAGTTTCCTTTACAACTAAAGGGGGTCACCATCTAAAACAGACTCAGATCCTTTTGGTGCTTTTTTATGGTCAACAAAATGAATCCATTTTGAAACATCCATTCATAATTTTATTTAAACACAATTGCAGTTGCATTTCAGTGGTACACATATTTTTACCACATAACGACCTCTTAAACGAAATTGCGTAAACTCTTTCACATCACGTTTGTCCATATAGTGTAGTATTCATTCTCTAGATTTAAAAAGATAGGCACTGCATGTGTTTTTTTTATCCCCCGCAACGCGTTTTGCGGGGGGATATTAAAATGCACTCCGTCCGTGCGTGCGTGCGTCCGTGCACATTTGTCTTTTCCGGAGCAGAACTTTTAAACCGTTCAATATTTCTTCACCAAACTTGGCACATGGATTGGTCTGGTGGTGTACGGGTGCCTTTTGGTAGTTTTGTATTTTTGAAGAAAAATACTTTTTGTGTTTCCGTGGCAACAAGTTCAACTTCGACTGAATTTGGTGGTTGTGCGCTTTTCCGGAGCAGAGTTTTAAAACCGATCACTATTTCTTCACCAGACTTTTCACATAGATAGATAGGTCTGGTGGTGAACTGGTGCCTTTTGGTAGTTTTGGAATTCTGAATGAAATATGTTTTGTTTCCATGGCAACAAGTTTAACTTCGACTGAATTTGGTGGCAGAACTTTAAAACCTTTCAATACTCTCCTTCCGCTTTGCCGCTATACACACCAAAACATTTGACAAAATCATAACTAGTAGACATATTCATAAGAGTATTTTGCCATTGCACCATCGGCAAGATCCGCAACTTCCTAGATACTGAGACAACAAAGCTCCTAATGCAAACACTTGTAATCTCAAAGCTGGACTATTGCAACTCACTCTTTTGCAACACGGCATCTTCAACACTTTCTGAATTGCAGAAAATGCAAAACGCAGCAGCTCGTGTGGTCTCTCGAACCCATCGCCATGACCATATATCGCCAGTACTGAAATCCGTTCACTGGCTTCCAGTAAAGTACAGGATCTACTTCAAGATTCTGCTACTGACTCATAACTGCCTCTACGATGACCAGTCCTGTGACTACCTTCGCCAGCTTGTACATCTGCATGTACCCACCAGAGCTCTACGATCAATAGGTACGTTAAGACTAACACAGCCAAGCACTAAAACATCCATGGGTGATAGAGCCTTTTCTGTAGCAGCACCAGCACTATGGAACAATCTTCCAGTCACCCTCAGACGAACTGAGTCCCAGTCACTTTTCAAGAACTTGCTCAAAACCTACTTCTTCAAGATGGCTTCTGAATAGAACTCTTTTCACACTTATGGTGTTTTTAACGATGTATGCAGCGCCATTGAGCATCTATGATGGAAACTAGGCGCTATACAAGCCAATTATTATTATTATTATTATTATTATTATTATTATTATTATTATTGCGGGGGATATTGATGACTTTGTCTTCTTGTTAAATGATGGAATTTGTCACAACTGATTTAAACATACTAAATGATCAATGGCACTTCTGCTTTCGCGGAAAACACGATGTATATTGTAGATTGTTGATTTCAGACTTCCAAACTAATTGATTATCATGCGATCACTGATTTTACAAACGCAGTTAGCTATGAAACTGGACGATCATTTGAAGGGGTTGGTATGGCCATGTCCAGGTTTAGTTATTGGAACAATTATAACATCACATCACGATAAAGTAAATTTCCCTGACGTCCAAATATCACCAAAAAATGTAAGAGCAGGGGTTGAAATAACCCATTGCCCGACGCCCGAGTCCAGTGTTTTTTTCTGTCGGGCAAGCAAGTTTGGATATCACACTGTACCGGTGTCCAGTTGATATTCCAATGTTAATTATGTTGTTTATTTAAAAAATCAACAAGAAAACGGCCGGTATAGTGGGAAAATTATCAGGGCAAGTGATTTTACATGTGCCACTGTACCGGAGTACACTAGCAATTTTAAAGTTATTTTCACCCCTGAAGAGGATTTCCAAACATGATTCATGAGTTGATAATGTATGTTATCAGTTCCTATGGCAGCATTGTGATTTTTTTTCATAAACACATGAATAAGAAATATGTCATTCTAATGTTCCCATTATCTGAATTGAAATGAATCATAGTTTTCTTGTCTTGCTGTTTTTTCTGCATTTTGACAATGAGATGCAAGATAGAAGGGCAAGAATGTTTCCCAAACTTTATTTCCAATTTCAGATTTACTGGTTAATAATTTATCTCCGTTTAAGATAATGAATGTTAGATTAAGTACTAATAATAGCATATTTGTACCACGCATATATCCATGCTTAAGCATGCTGAAAGCACACAAAATATAATTCAATTAAGGTAAAGAGCTACAGTTGAAAGGCTATCTTGAACATTAAGCCTTTACCTTTGAATTTTGGATAATGGTCCATACTTTTGATAATGTGTTCGTGAATTAATACATAATTTCGCAAAGAGCAGTGCTTACTTTGTTAAAAGTATGCCATGCTTGAGCATTTGATGTATTTAATATTTTCAAATTGTAGATCCAGCTAGAGTCCATGCAGGAAGCAAATGTACTGTAAGTCCCCATGGTCCCTAGTATGGTGATCTTCCTTCAGTTGTTGGCAATATATAGCCTGTTTTACCTTGTATTGTCATCTATAGTTACCCTGTTTTAGATCTAATTACTAGTTTTACATTCGAATCTGTGATAATCTAGTTATTTTACTGCCCTTCGTTGACAGGTTTTTACAGTTTACCATTAATTACTATGTATAAAATTCACAGATTGAGAAAATCGTAAATTCCACAGAGGTCGTCGTGGACTGACCATTTAAATTCACTCAATGGGGTTGAGTCTGTAATTGACAAATCGAGATCCTAATAGATTCCTTGGTCAGGGTATAAATATGTTTTAGCCATTATCATTATATCTAATGAAATGAAATTATACCTTTAGCAGTTGTAGTTCTACAACACCAGAGCTGGTTGTGGCCATTCAGTCACCCGTGATTCCGCATGGGAGTTGATCATAAAGAGCTTGAAGATCCGCCTATTGATAAGGCCGTTCCCTTAATTATTAATCAACCGTAAAGGAGAGCTTTTAGTCGTAAGCTATAGGTTTTGTTAATAAATATTTGAACTCGTAATCTTTCTATTGTTTGGTCAAGATAGAAACTTCTGTTAATAAAGAGAGAAAATATCGTATATGCAGTTGTGGGTAGGTTAGATGGTGTTACAGTAGAGAAATTACTGAGATAAAAGGCTTGAGAGTCCCCTTTAAACCCGCAAAATAGAACACAAACAAGTCTATAATGTTCCGTTATATATTGAGTAAAAACCAGGTTAACTCTAATTTGCTAAACAGGAGAAATTAAACAACCTAACTAGTTCATATCACACTCAGTGCTTTAAATTTGTGTGACCCATAACAACCAAAGGTTAATTAATGTGACATTTTCATTAACAAAAACACATCCTCATAGCAATGGGTAGATATCGTTTTATGATTAACAGATTATCTGTAAGGTCCCATGTTTGTTATCTTCTGCCTGAATAATGCAAAGATACTATCTGTACATGTCTTTTTTCTATTTCTTGGTCATGACGTCAAGTGGTATATGTCCATTTACGGAAAATCTTACATCAAATACTAACTGTAGTACGCAGAAGAAACAATTTCAATTAATACACAATCTCTAGAACGAGGTACGTTAAATAAGAAGATAGAAACAATCAGCAATGAATTTTCACGTCAGTTGTACTCAATGTCTTCAAAATGTCGTTTAATTGTATTAAGATGTTGGTATTTTCAATTTTGTTTTCGATAAAAGGGGTTCAGAGAAGCATTGATAGAAGGGCAAAAGCGTCGACTATTCTGTGTTCCGTAAAAAAATGGAATTGATTGGAAGTGATGGCTACGCAAATGGCCAATGTTGTTAGGTTTTTGTTGTTGTTTGTTTTGTTGGGGTTTTTGGGTGGGGTTGTTGTTGTTTTGTTTTTGTTTTGTTTTTTGTTTTTTTATAAGCCGCATTCAGCAATAATCCAGATATATGGCAGCGGTCTGTAAACAGTCGAATCTGGACCAGACAATCCAGTAGTCAATATTCAAGTAATTGTTCTACGCAATTTGTATACAATGACATGTGTCTACCAAGTCAGCGACCCTGACAACCCGATCCCGTTAGTCACCTCTTAGTACAATTATGATTTACTGAAAACCCGGATCTAACCCGGATCTGCGCGGGTAAATATGGCCAATTGGATAGTTGTCAGGAATGAGAATATTCATTTGAAACCTCCGGCGTTTGCGTTTGCCGGAGGTTTCAAATGAATATTCCCGTGCTTCAAATACTCAATAACACCCGGAAATTGGCCAACACATGATGTTTATCGACATTGTAAACACAAAAGTAAACCAAAG